CTAAATCATATAGCAGAATTTCAATGCCTACTTTGTAATCAGGAACACACTAGTGATAACGCATATGTAATCCAAAATAAGAAAACTTATCAATATTATTGCTATCGAGTGGATCAAGAAAAGCAAATAGACATAAAAAAACCCTCATTAAAACTTACTTTAAATGTATTAGTCCTGGAACAGGAAAATAGTCTTCCATCCCTAGAAAAAATAGAGTGACCCAGAATCTCAGATCCAAATGACCACTTTGTATGAAGTGATTTAATTCATATGTGCACTTCTAAGAAAAATTTTACTCAGAATGAAGTATATAATGCAATTCAGGCCATACTTGCTTGCGTGGTAAAAGATAAATGAACATGGATTCTTAAACACAGAAAACCAGATAGTAGAATATACTTTGATATAGCACCTACTCTTGATTTCAGTAAAATAACTATTAATATAGTAGAACTTTGAGGAGAACTAATAAAATTGATCTATTTGATAGATCATATATATAACAACAAGGCGATTATTTATGATGATATTTATTTCTTACCATATCTACCTAATATCGAACAACCAAAAAACAAATTCTTTAATTTTTTCTTAGGATTCAAGACTAAACTAGTATCTCGAATTAATTACGATCTTGTAAACCTAATTATATGCCATATAGAAAATATCTGGTGTAATAGGAATAAAGTTCTTTCTATATATGTTCTCAAATGGTTAGTATTTTTAGTTCAGTATTCAGCAATAATTCCAGATACAATTCTTGTTTTGCATTCACCACCATGATGTGGAAAAAATATTATTACTTATTTTATTCAAAAAAGTTTATTCAGTCCAGAGCTTGTATATTTAACATCTGATTTAGGTAAAATTTTGGGAAAATTCAATAGTAGTATTCAAGGATGTAAACTTATAATTATGAATAAAGCGGGAATGTTAAGTGAAGAATGGCATAAGTTAAATGATCACTTAAAATCTCTAATTACAGAAGATTATATCTCAGTTGAGCATAAAGGTCTCGAAAATCAAGAATGTGATCATTTTCTCAGATTTATAGTATTAAATAATCATAATACCCTAATTCGTTTGAGCAAGGAGATAGTTGTATTATATATTTAGATGTTTTATCTCGAGTAAAGGTAATTTTAAATATTTTGGTCAGTTAGGAAAAATTCTCAACCATTCTGATACAACTGGATCTTTTATGAGCTATTTACTTGATCAAAACTTTTCGAATTGAAATCTACAAGAAAATATTCCTACCACTAAAATGAAAACAGAGACAATGCGTGAGCATCTCCCAAATCCCATCAGATTCATAATTGATCATATTTCAGTATAATCAGAAGATCAAATTGAAAAACTGAGTTGTGCTATATTATATCAGAAGTATCGTACATGGTGTGAAGCTAATAGTAAAAAGCTATTTAGTAATAATAATTTTGGGAAAAAATCCCACAAGTTAATATTGAACGAAAATGTGCTAGTGGTAGAAAAAGAAAATAGCAGTATATTCTTAATTATTCCAAAATTGTAGCCAAGCTATATAAATTAGTAGGTAATATCAAGGAATTTTCTGACATACCTCAAGCTGAGACATCCTCCAACACATCCACAAATATCTCTGTATTTAATGTACCTGAAATTGTAAACCCAAAAGGTCATTGCCTTGCAATAAATTCTCAACCAGTGAAAAATATAGCTAAGTCATCGATCACTAATAACATCAAAAAAGGTAAGGAAATAGTGTCTACTCTAGCTATTACAGATATGTTTCAAGACTTCTTTAACTCAATAATAGATCAACCAGAATGTTCAGTTGCTTCGACATCAGTGTCTACTGATATATCTCCGCTCCCTAAGATCATATACATAGAATCTGTGGATGATAAAGCAGAACCTTCTCCCAAGATTATTGATTCAGTGAATGATAAACCTGAGATTTCTTCTAACTTGTCTGCAAATAATGAACTCAAACCCAGCAACAAAAAAGCCAACATCTAATCAGAATCATATCTACCTAGATATATATCCCAAGCAGAAAGAGAAAAACATCTCAGACAGTGGGCTGTAGATCATGGCAAGGATCCAGAAATCTTTATGACTATAACTAAAAAAAATAGGAATTTAGTATATATATACCATGATAGATTATGTTCAGACGCAGACATGATTCAATTTACAAAAGATACTGATTATGACCCAAATATATTAATAGACATATCTAGATAAGAACGATTAATAAGTGAAGAAATTATACTCCGATTGTATAAAGACAATAGCAACTTCCGAGCAAGGAGTTATGATGATAAGAAATAGATAGAAAAAATAATGATACTTCA